TAAACACAATATAATTACCAACTTGTCACCGAAATAACTACAGGGAGAGGAATATGCAGGTTAGTTAAAGGTCGCGAAAAATCATAGACCAGTTGAAAAAAAACCTTCGATTCTTTCTGAGAATTTGCTGGAAACCGTTAAATATTCAGAAATATTAAACACTTATCAAACTGAATGGCTATATAAAACTTTACTTATACACTGACCTTCAACTGCACTTGCAAAATAGGGTCCAGAAGATTTACCAGCGCTGCAGATTTAAGCCTCTTTGATAATCATTGAACGAGCTTACGTAAAAGTGTACATGAGTGGAATCTCACACTAACCGTGCGTGGGGCTCCCAGTACTGTACATATGAAGTAAATAAGCAGTTCATGTTCATTCAGCAAAATCTATAAATATGTGGATATAAACTGATCTTAAGAGTATCCATTGGCTGATATTCAAAAAACTACAAATTATATTTTGCCACTATTCTATTCCTCGAATTCTGTAACAGTATTATTCCTAAATTCGTTGCTGAATACATGAGATGTACCTATTGCATCCACATCTACATTTCAGAATTATGAAATGTTTCGTAATATACTTTGAACTCTATCAAACGCATGCTGAAGCACAACAACAATGACAAAGTGTTTTATCAATTACGGAATTATAGGTAGGTTGCTCATAAGCTTTTTCTAGCCTGCCATTCCAGTGTTAACCTCTTGCACGATATTCATCTAATATGGATTTGCGACGAGACTGAACACCAAATCGATATACGTTTCAAATACAAAAACTGAGGCTCCGAACCGCGCAACGCTGGAGCTAACGGTGATGAGATAACGTTCTCTTTGTTCCTTGGGATGAGTGCAAAGTCGATTCCCTCTTCCAGGCAGCGATGGACTGCGGGGCCGGAGGGACAGTCCATTAGCGAGGGGATTTTTTATTATGCGCGACTCCTTTATGTTCGCTCTCGAACACCCTACTTCTCTTGTCCTCTCTCTGTGTATGTGGTTTGATGTGTGCTCCCTTTCTCTCTCTTTCGCTCTTCTTCCTCTCTCTCTCTCTCTCTCCTCTCTCTCTCTCTCTCTCTCTCTCTCTCTCTCTCTCTCTCTCTCTCTCTCTCTCTCTCTCTCTCTCTCTCTCTCTCTCTCTGTCTCTCTCTCTCTCTCTCTCTCTATCTCCCTTTCTCTATTCTCCCCTCCCCCTCTCTCTCTCTCTCTCTTTCTCTCTCCCTCTCTCTCTCTCTCTCCTCTCTCTCTCCTCCTCTCTCTCTCTCTCTCTCTCTCTCTCTCTCTCTCTCTCTCTCTATCTATCTATCTATCTCTATCTATCTATCTTTCTATCTATCTATCCCCGTCCCCCAACTCCTCCCTCCCTCCCTTGCTGTGACCCTTCCCTTCCTCTAGGGAATGACTAAAGAGGCGCCATCACTGACCGTGAGCCGGAAGGAATATCATCTGCCCGTCATGCAAATAAATGAGCAGCCATAGAGAACATCCTCCCTCCCTCTCCGGCCGAATTCACGCGTCTTCATTTCCTCCTCTTCTCCATTTCCTCCCTTTCTTCTCCTTTACCTGCCCACATTTTAATTTCCTCTTTTCAACCTTTTTCCTCTTCTCTTCCTTCCCACACCCCCACCCCCCCCTCTACCCTTTTTTCTCCTCTCTGTCCCTTCTTCCCGAGGACGATCGCTCACGAGATGAAAGCAGGCGAAGAAACGGGTCTAGCATGGCTCGCGGGGAACGCAGGTTAAGTTCTAAGTGTCTTCCATTTTTAACGCAAACTCCACGTAACATTTGCGCAGTTAAGTGTAAAGTTGCTGTCGTGCGAGGATGATGTAAACAAGCTTATGACGGGGGTTTTGGTGATGGAATGACGAATGGAAGGAGATGGAGAGGGGAAGGGGTGACGGAGGGAGGGGGTGGGGGGAAGGGGTGACGGAGGGAGGGGGTGGGGGGAAGGGGGTGAGGGAGGGAGGGGGCGAGGGGAAGGGGGTGAGGGAGGGAGGGGCGAGGGGAAGGGGGTGAAGGAGAGAGGGGGCGAGGGGAAGGGGATGAGGGAGAGAGGGGGCGAGGGGAAGGGAGTGAAGGAGAGGAGAGAGGGCAAGGGAAGAGGAGGGAGCGTGGGTCGGGAGCCAAGCGAATGGGCAAAGCTGCTTCTCAAAGATTCGTCCCAGACATTTACTCGCGCTGAAAACCTCGAGAGAACGCGAGTGGAGTTTTCCGCAGAACTGTTTTCTTATTTGGGGACACGAGTTCTGCAGTATTTGATGTGTTGAAACAGGCATGAACTTGACTTGATGACTTTATGATACATGGCATGACGGGGACTCCACTGTTAACAAGACTACCTTGTATTGATGTTGATATCTAATGTGCAATGATAATGCGATGGGGATGTTGCCATTGATGGATATATAGAGCAAACCTAACCATGATAATAATAATGATAATAACAATAATAATAATAATAATAATAATGATAATAATAATAATAATAATAACAACAA